AAATTTTAGGGGGGTGTTTCTATTAAAAATGGGTCGCACTGTATATTCGAAACCACTCAGCCTAAAAATGTTCTTAGATAAATGTCCATTTTTTAAAATAAACTTTATTTTTGAGCTGTGCTTTCTTAAAGAAATCAATAAATATTATTTGTAGCACTTCATGAGAAACAAGAAACTTGCAAATCATCGAAGCATATTTATTTTATAATGATTTTGCTATTTGAATGTGTTCAAACGATGTTCAATGTATCATCGCTGCTTACGCTGCCATCTCGTGGTTACACAACAAAGTTCTGCACTGTACATGGCAGTTTTCTGTATCGAACGATACCTGTTTAGAAGTGGGTCACTGCTACTCACCGTTAGATGGAACAACTATCGAATATGTTGTAAGAAAGCTTATTTTGTATCTTTGTATATAGACTACAATGTTTGTAGTCTAGTACGCAATAATATTAGCGCCATCTATATGTTAGGCCCAGGTAGTAACTCGACAAACAACTTGTGAAGAAATCATTTATTTAGAAAAATTATATCATAATGTCAATACTACACGTTATAAGGTGCAGTGTCTAAATTCAGTCTTTCCATCTGCTCGTCAATCCATGACCTAAACTTAGCAACGTCAGCATATACTCCTGGAACTCCAACAGTCCCGCAACCTATTCCCCATCCGACTATTCCAGCCTGTACGTACCTGCTAGGGTTGTTGGGATCCGGACAAACCAGCGGACTACCACCATCGCCCTAAAACAATTCACATAAGTAACAAGCCCTCGGTCATATTTGTACTATAAATGTTGAATTGGTCTTCCCATTCCTTTGGAAATTGTTCTCCTTCTTTGACTGATACATAAGTTAATATCCCTGATCTAGATGGCACTGTTCTAATCAAGAAGTTGGTTGATCTTACTTAGGTCACCTTATAGAGATACATTTTATTTTATTTTCACATTCAGACTCGAAAGATTAACGCCAAGCCATATTTTAATATTTATATCATTTCCATTCAAGGAAAAAGTGAAGACAATGAGTTCGTGTGACAATTGAGTATCGTCAGTGTATGAGAACAAATGACTCCGAAAGTTTTGAATATGTGTGACACTGTTGATGTACAACACAAACAGTATTGGTCCTAACACTGTTCCCTGGGGCACACCAACAGTAGTTGTAGACTATATACCTAAAGTACCGCCCATGTTCACCTTATGTCGCCTTTGTGACAGATAATGTCGAATAAAGTTGATCGGTCTCAAATTCTTGCTCTCGAAATTACAATTCTTTAAACAGTGTATTGCAAATCTAAAATTTTAGTATTTATACACACATCGGAAAAGNTCAAGTAAGGACATACATTTTCTTATTATCTTGATGTTGCAAAATTTAATTAAAAATCATTTTTTAAAAAATAATTAAAAATAGTCTGTCCAGGATTTTTTTAGCGAACCCATTTTTAACATATTTTCCAATATACTAAATTCATTATAAAATATATTTCATTCTATTATCGCGTCGATGAAGGTCGATTTAGGTTCGGATCTTCTACTGGGTCTTTTCTAGTCCACTTATCTTCTTGAAATTTAATATTCCCGAATATCTTTACCTAAGCAACCCGTATAGTTAGGCATATTTCCATGTAAATATTTCAAGCTACAAATAGCAGATTTTCAATTCCTTTGTTTCTTGGGACTCACCCACTATTATGACCTGCACGTAGGGTCGTCCTGTTGAAACTACATGTCGTTGGTGTCAAGAACATCTAATTCAGCCCAAAAGAAGTTGATGATCATCGACCTACAGTGCTTGCCAACTGCTCTGGAGCAGTTGGCAACTTACCCTAACTTTCAGAACAGAGAGATTTAGTTTACTTACAGTACAGGCATCTTTTCCTTGCTCCCCTCCCGCACATATGAAACTCTTGTGCAGATTGAAGTCTTTTCCTAGCCGAGTACCCCTCAGAGCTGTTTGACATGCCTGTCGAGGAACGATTGGCAACTCAATTTTTTTTAGAATCGCTTGGGATCTTCCTTGTTTACCTGCGAAATTGAAAGTGATCACAATCTTTAGGTCCTCCACAATCCAAGCAAAATGGTTTGACTGAAACCTGGCCTACTTACCGAAAACGTCTTTTCCCCATCCGCTGACAAAGCAATTCTTGGAGTTGATTCTCTCTCCTTGCACAGGTAAGCAAATCGTTCCAACATTATCAGCTCCATTCACAGGTCGATCCAGAACCAATAAGGCTACGTCGTTGAAGAGTGTGCCAGGATTGAAGTCGTTGCGAGACAAAATGTTGATGACGCCTCTCTCCTGATATGGAAGTCTTTCCCTGGTGGTTTGGGTGTCCCATTCTCCTAGTCTCACAGTTAGATCTCCAGTTGAGGCCCTAATAAATAATGAACGCATGATAAACCAGAATAATCGGTGCTACAGTTTGTGCTTTTGCAAGCAAGAGTCTTTGCTGGCTAAATCACAAAATACTGCACCAGAAACTTGTACAGTGTCACGATGTCTATCCTGTAACAGTTTCGAATCTTATCTGCCGGATAGAAACCACTAATCAGAATCATTTGATATCAATTCTTAACCGATATCTCTATCACCCGGAGTACCACAAGGTTCAGTTTTGGGACCTGTACTTTTTCGAGTATATATAGATAAAGTTGACGACCAAATTAGTATATAACGGAAATGCGAGCAAACAATGAGATCTTTGAACTGGTGGTTTTCCAGATAAAACAGTAATGATTCAATTTTGTAATTATCAAAAAATTCTTGACAAACTTCAGGAGGTGATTCCTCACAATATTCTAATATAAATTGTCCAAATAAATAAATGTCCGNCTGCGAATTTTTTATATCGAATGAAAAAAATTGTGGAAAAATAAGGTATATACTGTAACGAACCTAAAGCCGGCCCTGACCGATATGCCGGCCGACTCAGCGAACAAACACGACGTCAGCGCGAAAGAATACAGTCGGGAATCAGCGGTAAAACTCTAGAACCGAACCGACACAGGTTTTTAGAAAGGACCGTTACCGATATAAGCCCGGCTTCCCGACCCAAGAGGGCAGTCCAGAAAGTGAATCGAGCAGCTAAACAAGAAATTCAACTAGTGGAAATAAATAAAGCGTCAGTTGCTAAGTGATGTAAATAAATTAGTTTGTGGTTAGTGAATTATTGTTGGAAATGAATTTGTTTAGGACAGTTCGCTGACAAATATGACTTTGTCTTCAAGAGGTTTACATGTCACACCATCTTTTTGGGGTGAACTTTCCAGTTTGCTCTTTATTTCTCTTGGTCAAGTTCCCTGTTGACCTGATTTTATTTATTTTCTCGATTTGGAAGGTTAAACTCCGAAACCATAGATTTTGCATATTTCTGACAACACTACTTACTTGTTCACGCAATGGGCTCCAGTGAGAACTACCTTGGGAGTGATCAGCGACCCCCCGCACATCAAGTAGTTCGGATCCAGAGACGGATTCAGGTTCCTGTTCAAAATGGCCGCCATCCAGGGGAACTCCCCGTACTCCGCTTCGTGATCTCTGGCTCCTTCGATCTTGAAATCGATTCCGTTGGGGTTCCTCAAGCCGCAGTAGCTGGGAGATTGGGGAGTGACGGGGTTATCGGGGAAGGGAGTCGCTGTTGGGGTGACTGGGGGAACTGTAGGGGGAGTGGGTACTTCAGTAACTGGAAGGGGGAGTTTCGGGTCCAGCCCTCCTTCGGGGAGTCCACAACACACTTCTAGGGGGTGGGGGCAGCTGTTTTCACCGAATCTGGAACATTAATGGGCATATAATAATATAATAATAATAATAATACAATTTCATTACATTACAGTTTTTTTTT